CCAAAAAGAAATGCTGGAGAAAGAGGACTCCAGTGAGATGAATGTTGCTTTGTTCCTTTTTTGGATTGGTAAGTAGGTAGTTGTATCTCATCCGTAAGAACTCTATAAACTGTTATTGTTTCAAGGCTTGGTGCTATAAGTTGTTTGTGAGTCTGTCTACCGCAGAATGCTCATAAATTGCATAATGCAGCATTAATTACCATCCATTTGGACTTTAGCGAGGCACATAAACCTCTCTTTGAGTCAGTGGTGTTTCTCAGTGCTCTATAGCATCATGCAGAGAAGCATTTAAATCCTCTTGCAGGCAACGATCCACCTTGGAATTGACCGATACTGCTGCTAGGCTATTACCTAGTATTATGAATATTAGATAGTAATGCCTGCTGTTGAGTTTAAACCTGAACTGAGCTGCTGATTTGGAGGAAAAAATGGTTGGATTACAATATAATCCAGCCCACAGGGTGATACTCAGATTAAAACAGATTTCATACATGCAAACAGAGGTCTGTGGACAGAAAACTGTTTCTGTTTCTGATGTTTTTTGCGTAATTCATCAATTATTAATTCATTTCATCAAAAAACCCTTGACACACATCCAAGAGAATTTCAGCATTGCAGATTCCTTCATGCTGTTTGCAGCCTTTGCACAGAAAAACTCAAAGCTAGACAAAGCTAGAAAAGTGTAATTTTCTTGCACTTTGTTTCAATCATGCTGTGTATTACACTTAACAGCATACACTTATGTCTTGTTTGTGAGTAATGCTGTTAAATTCTGTTTTTGCCATTGTGCATGCTAAAAGCTTCTATTTGTTCATTTTTCCTTTATCATCTTGAATCCTGCCCCAGTCAATGATGGTGTTATTTTGTGCTTCATTATATAGATTTTTATTTTGCTGTGCTATGAATCATATTATTCTTTGATATGATAACATGCTGTGTAAGAACAGGAAGGGAAGCAACAATAAATCTTGTGTAAAAGCCAGGTGTGATAACAGCTGGTGCAAAAAACTACATCATTGCATCTTTGCATTGCCAAAGGTTATCTGCTCAGCCTTTTAGACTACCACTTCTCAGTTGCATTCGGTCATAAATATTTCAATCTTACATTTAGTTCTTGCACGTTTTCATCTCTCTCTCCCTGAGCAGCTAGGAAATATCCACCAGGGTGGAACTGTCGGCACCCTTGTTGATGCATGGCTGCTCACTGTACAACCTAGTTATTACACATTCTAACATATGTTTTAACTAATCCTCCAAAACAAAATTCATGTGGCTAAAAAGATGTTCAACACATTTGTGTGTATTGAGGTAAGCTTACAGTTTTACAGCTTACTAGTAATTACAGTTCACTGGGTCTGAAAAGGCTGACAACATTCAGTTTGATACCATACATTATGGTGGTGTAATGATTCAGTGCTTTGTCTAAGAATATGCCTTACAGTTCCATTTCCAGTTAGAAATAGTGTCAGAAATACTGGAAAATAACAAAAAAAAACTGCAGACCATTTCGTCGTATTTTGTCAGTAGCATAATTAATAAAAACAACAGCGGTGCTTGGAAATGTAACAGTAAAACCTAATGTAGTGACAAAAACACAAGCTGTTACCTCAGCGGCAGATTTTAAACAATGCACATAGTAAATTATAAAATTTACTGCATATTTAATGGAGAACCTTGTATTGTACCATAATACACAGTATTGTTTGGCACTCAACGACAATCAAATTACTTTGACCATGCCGGCACGGAGGAGAGGGGTTAATATAAAGACTGAGCAAGAGAGGGAGATAACGTAATCTAGTGAATAGAAAGGCACTGGATTAACCTGAATGGTGGTTTATGTGTGACTGTGTGTGTGTGTGTGTGAGAGAGAGGGAGGGTGTGTGTTTTTCATTAAGTATAGATTGTGATCACATACAATCTATATTAGTCAAGTGGTCCATTCAGGCTCGAGGGATTCTTGTTTCTGGTAAATGCGCTTCGCCTCGTTTCTCAAAACGCTTTGTTGTGTGTGGTTGCAGGTGCACATGTGCCAGCAAGTACACAAAGTACACATCACAGAAACGTTAAGCAACCCATAATACATGCAAATAATATTCAAAATTTTAAATTTGGCTCATAAAATAAATAAATATTTATTTGTGTAAATCACACATGATGAATAATTAATCCAAGGAGATCTCTTTTCATATATAATGCATCACCCCCAAACTTACCAAGTGCCTTTGGCTTTGCCATAATTGGGAACATTTCCTGCATCAGACATCCCGTATTATTAGTGTTATTTGAACAGATTGCATGCAAGCATGGATATGCAGTCACTCTAGGGTGGTAGCCATACAAATTAACACAGTCACAGTATTGATTGACACCTGAGGGTGATGATGGCAGAATGACAGCTGTGTCAAAGAGAATGAAATTTGTCATTTCCTGTGGGACAAAATCTGCTACAATGAGAGTTTGTCACTGGTCTACAGAAGCAGAGAGACAATCTGCACACAGCGAAATACAGCACGTGCTACAGAATGAGCTACCATTCATAACATTAGTTCTGAATCTGTGCAAACATACACAGATGTATATAGTTGCACACATCAAGACAACGTGTGAGTGAGCACAGTGAGAAATGGGAGTCGTATATCTGTACAGTCTGTAGAGATTTTCTCTTTACCTGTATTTAAAAAAAACAAACAAAAACTGTTTCACCAGTAATTGCTGCATATTTGTCTTTTAACAGAGAGATTTAAATATCTATCCCTCTGTTATCTATCTCTGTTTCCTCCACTTTATCTGCGCTCTCTGTGTACATCACAGTGTAGGTGCTTGACCTAATTGTAGCTGCAGAGAGGTAGAAATGATCAGGACATGACTCCAACCCGTTGTCCTGTCACTGTTACACCACAGATTAGTTGTCTTGCCCTCTAGCAGGATGTTTCACATTGAGACCTTGTGTTACCTTTTGTCCCAAATGTTCCAGCACATCACTGCTCCCTGATGCAGCTTGTACGTGTCTATGGCTACAGGCACAGATAGCAAGATTTTGCACGAGCCACTAATGCCTCATGACATTTGGATGGAAAAACATGACATTCTCTTGTCAGATCTACTGTGAGGTCTGTATTGTCACGGGTAAAGTGTTAATGGGGTAGTCACTGTGATATCCTTGACCAAAAATATGACAGTGTCCGGCTGGTGAGTGCAGCAGAGGTGTGAATGTGTGTGTTGTCCATCTGTGTGTGCGTATGCATGCCGTGAGTTGTGTTAAGCAATGTGACTTATTTAGTATTCACTGAAGTGTAATCTTTGGGAGCACCCGGACATTGGTATACACACAACGCACAAACCTTCAATATTATTTCACTCAGGTGGATGTAGTTGCACTAGCAGTGTTTTGCAGGAGAAGCTTCTGTGACCTGATTTCCTCTGACAGGAGTTACTCGAGCATCCAGTCTGACACACACACACACACACACACACACACACACACACACACACACACACACACACACATCCATCTCCCAGTCTCTGTCTTCCTCTCGTTCTTTTTCGAGCTCGCTCTGCTCCTCCTCTCTGTTCACTGCCTCACCTGCTTCTGGCGCTCTTTAATCCCATCTCCACATGCCCATTTATTGTCATAGATCGGCATGTGGAGTGGGACGTAACAGCTCAAAATCTCCCACGGAAAATGCAGCGTATAACTAGCAGATGTGCGAGAGCACCGTGGCACAGATTTTCAAAATGCGTGTCACAATCCTGCTTTAGTCACACACTGCACACCCTATTAAATTGTTTTATGCTCAACCACACTGTATGTGTGCGTCTGCAGTCCTTCTTGCTTCTCTCTCTTGTTTCTTTCTTTCTCACTCTCCCTCGTTCATCCTCACATTCTCACTCTCCTCGTGCAAATCCTGCTTTTAATAAAAAGCTTGAAGTATTCATATATGCAAATCAGCCTTGAAGCACAAAGTCATACAGATGCAAGCACATAGTGCACGTTGTGTCGCTTGATAAACGCGTGTGTGTGTTAATGTACTGGTCTGAAGTCCTACCATTTTAGCAAACTATACTTATCTGTAGTTAATTTGTGGCCAGTTTAAAACCATTGATGAGCACTTAACCTGTCACCGCACCAAAAGCCGCACTGCAGCAGCTTCTCTCTCTCTTTAGCTGCCCTTCTATCCAATTTAACGCCCCCCCCCCCGTCTCTTGCCATCTCTTGCTTATTTTTCTTTCTCTTGCTCCCCCTGCTGTATATACATTTCCTCCACTTTTCATTCCTATCTCTATCCTTCTATTTTTTCCAATGACCTCCCTTGCTCTCTGCTTGCTGTCTGCCCCCCCCCTTCCTTTTTCTTTTGTTTTTTTTAAATTTTTTTAAATGTCTTTGCCTGAGAAGGTAGAGAATAGTCCAAAGAAGTGTGCATCTGTATGAGTCACTGCCTATGTGTGTGTGTGTATGTGTGGCAGAAGGAGACTGGGAGGGGTGTGTGTAAGGAGGTGAAGAGCATTGCGTCATTGGGGGTGTGTTGAGCAGTAGGTGGGCTGAGCCGGCTGTCAGTCAGTGACGCGAGTGGAGCACGTGCGTTGGTCGTGGCTGGGAAGACGTTGTGCGGCGGTTATCTGGCTGTAGGCGAGGAGTGCTAGAAACAGCCGCAGCTCCCCTTACCGACGGGTGGATCGAGGGAGTGTGTGTCTGTGTGTCTGTGTGTGCGTGTGCGTGTGTGTGTGTGCGTGTGCGTGTGTAAGTCTGGGCCCATGTAAATGCTGGATGGGCTGCAACTGGAGCTGTTGCTGATGCTGGTGAATAATGCAGAGAGAGGCACAGAGTTTGGATAGCATGCAGGGAGCCAGATTAATAATGCATCCTGCCGGGTTACAGGCTCTGCATTAGTTAGTTTTGCTGGAACCTGTAGCTGCCTACTGTCTGCCTGCCTGCTTGACTTACTGACTCCTTGCCTACCTTTCTACCTGACTGGCGGACTGTCTGACTTGCTCAGAAAATGTCTCACTACCATTTCATCAAATGCTGTAAGTACTCACTCAGCATCTCTTTATCTGTGCAGGCAAGTGTGTGTGCAAGTGTACTTGTGTATGCCTCGGACATGGGTGTGTGCCTGTGGTATTAATACTTACTATAAATGCAGGGGGTTATAAACTGTATGAGCTTCCATTCTTAAGAATTCTGGGGCCCTTGCTGTCGACACTGCTTCACAAACTAAACTTCAAATGGTTATTTGTGTGTGTGTGTGTGTGTGTGTGTGTGTGTGTGTGTGTGTGTGTGTGTGTGTGTGCGTGCGTGCGTGCGTGTGTGTGTGTGTGCAGTAAGTGGGTGTGTGAGCTTGCTGCAGAGAGCTGCTGCAGATGTGTGAAGTTGACCAGTGAATGCGGCAGGTAGCGGCAGAGGGAGAGAAAGATGAAATACAGCCACAAAGATGCAGATCCCATGAGCGTCTGGCGTATTCATAACACACTGACAGACTGACAGAGAGAGAAAGTCATTTCAGAGAGAGATGGACAGATGGAGAAACACTGAGGGTGATTTAGATTAGTGTTGGAGAGAGGGAGGGAATGGCAGGATTGAGAAATGGAAAAGGACGTGAGGATGGTATGAGTGACATGAAGAATGCGGCCAAGTAGTGCAAAGAGTGATGAGCAGACTTAGGGAGGAATAAGGGAGAATGATGCTTATGGTTGAGAGGTAACGGCAAAGAAAGAAGTAAAGAGGGATAATAAAAGCGGATGAATAAGTAAATTCTGTGACAGAGTTGATGCAGGCTGTCATAAAGTCTCTCCTTGGTTCTGAGAAGCCTACCTGTCTCACCCCCAAACCTCGACCTGCTCCATACATCTATCAACATCCTGCACATTCATGGTGTACAGTTTGTAGCCTGTGTGTGTTTATGCATGTGTGTGTAAGTGTGCCATTTTCTAATTTAAAAGCCCCTGCTGTGCTTCCAGTGTTATTAGCTGGAGCCTGCATGGGATGTTCCACATTCAATCAATAACTGATAGCCTGGAGATGGAATGGCAGGAAACGAAAGCAACTGCTTTCTATCGCTGTCTGTCTCTCTCCGTCTGTCTCTCCACTCACTCCATCTCTCCTCAGATTCATTCAGCCCTATCTCCCATCAGACTTGGTCCCTCGGTCCTTCCCATTCTCATTCACAGTCCATCTTTCTGTTCAGAGACATTCATTACAAACAGCGGCAAATGCCAATGTCATTTTTTTGACTGTCCAGAGCATGATGACGGTATGTCACCATGTCATACTGTAATTTTACCATCCAACTCTCAAGTATATTCTCTGTAAACATTTGAAAATATTTAGTTAAATTAAGTAGGAATGACGTGTGTTTCCATGAGCACCAGTAGGTACATACAGCAACACACAGCAGGTTGTTACAAGTCATGAGGGACAGATTTTGTTGGTCGCAACATATCACAACACCTAAAGCCACATGTGAATTGAGGTGCAGTTAAAGTGAACCCTCTAGTACACTGAGAATACATCATCGTTTGTTTAGACAAGCACATTTGTATCACTTTATGTAAACATCTTTACTAACTTAACGTTATTTTTACTCCAATGTGTCCAGCTGTTCTAATCTGACGTATATCCATTTACTCTATACTGCATATACTTTAATGCCTTGTGAGTCATGTCTGCATCAGTAAAACATTTCATGTGATGTCTGTTATGTGCTGGGAGTTATGGGTTGATGTGGCTGTAGCTTTCAATGTATGCTTAACAAATGTTGTATGAGGGTGACGGAGAGTCCGAAGGATATAAGTAGCCACCAAATGCTGCACCAGCCAGCGCATAACACGCGGCGCAGGACCCTTGTTTTTGTGTTGCACTGGGAAACGGCTTTAGTTGGACACAACTAGCAATATGAAGATATGATGATGATGATGATGATGATGATGATAGGCTTCATGTAATTTTGATCAGGATTTGTCATTATTTACTGACATTTTTCAGATAGAATGATTAATTGATTAATCAAGAAATAACATTCTACTGAATTTATAATGAAGATAATCATTAGTTTCAACCTTCCTTTTTTTCTTTTTTTTTTACCTTTTACCTACTTCTCCACACTGACTTTGTACTCACAGTATATCCACCAGCCATTAGACTGACACACTGGCTGAGGCTAATCATCTGGGATGTGCATGTATGTGCAAGAACATTCAGCTAATGCACCGCAAGTTGCTGCTCTTCATGCTCAGTGTGTCTTTTAGCCCTACAGTGAGCTATGGGTCACTATACTATAGATCAGGACATGTTATATCAGTGCACCATAGGGGTCTACTATGGGTAGTGACCACACACCACAACTACTACTACTGCATGTCACCTATCAGAAAGGTCAGAGGAGAAGAAAAGGTGGAGGGAAGAAATATTAGAGTGGAAGAAAAAGGAGGCAATAACAGGGGAGTGTGGAAGCTGGACTGTGGAGAGACGGAGTGGCACAATATTGGAAAAGGCAGTAGGTTGAGTATCTTTTTGTTTTTTTGTGTGTGTGTGTTTGCTCAAACTGCAGCCAAGTTCTTAAGATAAAATACAGTTGAAGCAGACACCTGGCATGAACAGTATAATAATGCCCCCCCCCCCACCCCTCCTTGTCTGGAACCTGAACACAAAAGAACCTTCTTTACATGTCTAACCAGAGCAGATGGCAGTGGTGTATTGTACAGGAGGTGTGTATGTGTGTGTGTGTGTGCGTGCATGTGTGTGTGTGTGAATGGCAGAGAAAGGTGGAGGGGGCAGGAGTTTGAATGAATGTGTAGATACTGTATATATCAAACAGAAAAAAAGCACATACAGGCACAGCAGCTGCATTTGTCTGCCAGGATGACTTTGTTTCTCTTAGATAAAGATCTAGTCCAAACACACCTCAGCCGCTACCGAGTAGACACAAATTACCAACAGTCCATTCATGGCCGTTGGAGGACTGTTGAGGACATCGTTTATTGTTGCGTTCTTTTTCACTCCTGGATGTTAGCACTGTTCAAAGACTTTTGCACGTCACTCTGTGGACATACAAAGAGATGAAGAGAGATGATAAAGTAGTGAGAAAGAGGCAGAGGGGGATGGGGAACCATTGGGACAGCATGTAGTACTTCAAAGGTGTCCTACTAAATATACTTTCCACCTGACGAACAGACTGATGTGTGCTCAGTCATCCTAACAGAGGAAGAGAGAGATGAAATACAGAGACAAAGAGAGCCACATTCAAGCAGATCACTGGAGAGACGAACATGCTCCAAGGATGGGAGAATTAAAAACAAAATGGGCACAAAAGAACAACAGCAACAAAGGAACAGTAAAGTTGAGTTTGATAAAAGAAGGCATGACATATAAAGACAGCAGGGCCAAAGAGGGATGAGTTGGTGAGTCAGAAAGAAAAACAAAAGACAACATTTCTGCAAATACGTCATTTTGCTTGTCCTATGGGCTGGGAGTGACCTGAATTTGTCAAATTACCAATACTTTCAATGCCAGATTGCATGAACACTAAATTCCTCTGTTGATGTACGTATGTCTACTTTAAACCTACCTTATGTAATTTTATTTTTTTTGTAAAATGTGTGCTGCTAAATACTCTTAAATGTCTAACTCTGAGCCCACCTACTGCATGAACAATAGGTTTAGCAGCTTCCTTGTGATGAGATCTGTTTGGCTAAGCTCCACCGAGAGGCGGAAGGATTATGCAGAGTCAGGAGAATTGCTAGACTCTTTCGGGACAGGACAGACAACACACAAAACACTGTGATGCTTCTTTCAAATCACCCCAGGGTTAAACAGACACAGAAAAAATTTCCTTTACAGTAAATATGCTAAGTGGTTGCCCACACACAACTGGGCAGAGTGCAGACACAGACATGCAAGCATACATGTATGCACACAAAACAGTAGCAGAGATGTTTAAACACAGTTCTGCCAGGAGGTGAAGCAGGCAGCGTTTGTGTTTTATCATCTGAGCCTTGTCTCATTTGCTCTGCATCAATTTGTGTTCGAGTAAACACTATAGTCTGCAGTGTTTTCACTGATTCACCACATTGTCTTCCTCGCTCATTGCATGGGCAGCTTATGTCCATGCAATGCAACACTGCATAAATAAATTACATTTGCGTTTATTTTTAAGCAGCTGTATAATTTTCGGACACTAAACATCATTAACGTTGTCTTTCTCTCTCTCTCTCTCTATCTTGATCTGTCTCTCTTCCTCACCAGGTTGTTTCCAGCTATGTAATGTCTTTCGTCAGAACATGGAGATAGACCAGTGTCTGCTGGAGTCTCTCCCTATCGGCCAGCGCCAGCGCCTGGTCAGGAGGATGCGCTGTGACCAAATAAGGGCATACTATGAGAGGGAAAAGAACCTTCAGCGCCAGCAAGGTGGAGTCAAGGTTCGAGCCACAGCCACCCACCGCAAGAAGCACCACGTCCGCTTCAGCCCGACCGATGTCATACAGGACGCCATCATTCGCCATGACGACAAAGAAGGTGTGTATTGGGTACAGGTGAGAGGGTCAGAGGGTGTATGTCTGTAGTTGAGCGAATATGTAGAAGTGTGTGTGGCTGTGTACACAGGAAACACTTGAGGAAGAGGGGACTGGCTACTAGATTTGCAGTGTTGGCGAACACACACACACACACACACATTCAGAGCAGTGGGCCAAAACAGTGCTGCTGACTGCAGGTAACACAATTTGTTCTGCTGGAAGCTGTCCACTTGACTGAGGAGAACAGAGTGGAGCTTTTATCCCGACACAAACAGGTCTGAGAGACAAAAATACCTAAGCAGCAATGATAATGTCTGCTGTTGAGAGCAAACAGTGATTCCACAGAATGGCATTCGCTTTTTGTAGGACTCTGGGTAAAAAAAGCCCACTCGCTTTTGTTTTCTGACACCTACTGTACATCATTCAGCATCAGTGTCAAGGGGGGGTAGTAAGTATCCTCCAAAGATAAACAAATGTAAAAGTAACAAGAGGACATATGACACAGCTGCTTGCTTAGTTGCTGGACCCGGCTGACACAGCTCTGAGTTGGGAATAGCTAGTTTGTAGGATTAGTATTTCACTGTTTATGGATCCATGTGTGTTTTCACATTTGTAATGCAAACACAAAGTAATGCATCAAAACAAACATTAGCATGTTAGAATATTAGCTCAGGAACAATGAACAGCGGGCATCGCTTCAACCATTCAAACATTTCTTTCAAACAAATGGTAGCTTGCCAATACTGGGTGTGCATGAGTAATTTTTGTTTTCTATAAATACAGATGACACTGAAGATAAAAATAGTCAAAATACCTGCAGAGGAGCATTTAAAAAAATATTAAAAAGAGGTTTTGATGAACTTTACTCATGACTTCAGAGCTGTTGTGTTACTTTAACTGCTTTCAGTGAGTATCTAAAAAAAAATGTCATTTTGTTCCTTTCTGTGTTCATATTTGTCTGAGAATGTGTCTTTGTTTTTGTCAGTGTATCTGTGTATAGTGCATATTTGTTCATTTATCCATTCTTAATCAGGCAAATGGCTGTGAGAGCTTTTCTTAGACAAACAATAAATCACATCTGCCCTCAGGCCTGGGGTTTAAGTAGGACTACAGCCTGGCTGCCAGTAAATAAAAAAAATGAAATTCTCAGGCTGTTTTTATGGATTTTAGACTGTCAATGAATGCATAAGATTCATGGGGTCCTCACACTTTACTCTAAAGGAAATTGATATTCCTCCAACCTTACCCTCTTTCTTTTCGTCTATGCGAGTCATTTGCCAGTCATTTACCCAGCTGTCCGGGTGTATCTGTGTCAGTCCTACCAGCAGTCTTTGCAGGTCACTGTGCTAATCTCTGCTCCCTGGCTGCCAAGGAGGTTCAGCTGGGGTCTGTGGGAGCAGCTGGTGTGCCATTGCAACAGCCAGACTAAAACCAGGGTTCCTTGGCTTGGCATGAAACGGATCTGGTACCCCTCTGCCTAATGCCCACCTACCACCCAAACTCTTCCATGCCCTCAAAACTGGTACCAGTCCACTGTTTGTTTTTGCTATGGGAAAGTCCTTTTGGTGATGTTCAAGGGAAGAATTGGCTCTAGACTAAACAAAATAATAGACCCACGCACAGAAGCCCCTGTGTGAGGGACAGATTCTACCAGACTCCTTGAAAGCTTTGTGGTCTGTTCATGTCTTGTTGGACTGTCTTGTCCTTGACATAATTTCTGCATGTCTCTTTGTGAGGGCCTGTGGGTCTGTCCAAACCACTTAGATCACTTTGATGATGGTTCTTGAGCATTGCTCAGTGGTGCTGGTTCACTGAGTGAAACCAGTTTTTCTCACCACTGCTGCTTGAGTTACCTCTCTTCTTCGTTTGCACAGCGTGATAAGATTTGCCTCAGGCTAGGACCCTCCCCAGAGTAATGTGGGAACATTTCTGGATCGTTTCCCCTTACTACAGAAGCATCTTAAGAGAAGAGGGAATGTGTATCCACACGTGTTAAAATGAGAGCCTAGGGGTTAATCTGGTGGATGGGAGTAAAAGAATAAGGAATTTGTAGTTGTAACTCACTGACAATGCCAGGATAACCCAGTCTTTTGCCTAGAAAGCAGACTGCAACACAAACATAAAACAGAGTATGTCATTGTTGATTTCCTTTTCATGATGCATGTGGTTTCATCCTGTCTTAAAACATTACTGCCAGAAAAATATGATGACTTCTTGATTATTTTATGCTCTCTGTATTATTTTTAAACCTTCATCTTGTGGATCACCTCAAGTGTAAAGTGCAAAATGAGACTGATAGACTGTTAAAACATCATAAGATAATTAAATCTGTAATATTACCGTTATCTAGAATGAACTGCTTCAACTTAATTCATTTTTCAGTTTTCAGCACTGCGTCCCCGAGATGGTGAAGATTTCTAAAAAAAAAAAAAAAAAGAGTACGGAAAGATGTTTTGGTGACTCAACATTGTTTTTCAGAACTTGTGAGTGTGCAAGAAAGAAAGTGAGAGATTAGCCCAATAAGAATCAGAGAGGAAACGGCAAAAGAAACAAAGAGGTCGAGAAGGAAATAGAATGAGAGAGATAGCGAGATTGTGGGGGAAACGTGTAATGTCCTAATTAAAGCCTGTTTTGTAGTGAGCTTGCTTGGGAATTAGAGTCATAGATAATGCAGAAAACTCAGTCTGCTGACACGGCAGCCAGGTAATCGGAGATATCGGTCACACACACACACAAAATCATAAAGGATTTATTTTCTTATCGGTTGTCTTGTACCGGAAATAAGATGAAGGAGAACGAGATAAGAAGAGGCGGGGTGGAGAAAAGAGGAAAGGATGAACACAGTCGGTAAATGAAAAATTGGAAAGCACAAGAAATTGAAAGATAGCAGGGAAAAAGCATAAGGTTAGGGAGGATATTGTGAGGTTAAGGTGAAAAAATACAAATAGTTCAGTAGATTGGTAGGAGCACACCATACCTCATCTCGCTTCTCCATCTCGATCTGTCATATGCAAACATCTGGCTCACTTGTGTTTTGACATTTGGTGAAATTGCTTTTCCCAAACCAATATCTTAACGTCATCAAAGGGAGACACCAGTGGAGAGGCAGCAGCTGTTGTCCTTGCAGCCATGGAACCTACAGTCAATTTTTACTATGTCTTCCCCTTTTAACAGAGCAATGAAATTAAATATGAGATTTCGGTGTCAGTTGTTCTTGCTGAGATGATGATCCGTGGCAAAACACAATGTGAGAAATGTGACTTGATGTAAATAATTAAGTCTTAAGAAAGGGTGTGCAGCAATTCAGGTAAACTTAAGATGACTATCAAGGAGATGAGTTTAGTCTTAAACTTGGCTCTAGAAAGTAAAAATATCTTTGCAACAATTGGATGGATAGCCATGAAAGACATTCATGGTTGCCAGAGAATGAATCCTTCTGTCTTTGTTGTTCCTGGGACTTTTTTATCTAGCACAGTCCTTATGTCAAACCCCTACTGGTGTTAAATATCAGCCGTATTACCCACCCATAACCACTTCTTCTCTTCAGTGGGGATGCCAAACTAAGCCAGAGACATTACTGGTGGGGATTATACCCAGATTGCGTTATTGGGCGAGTGCATTTCCCCTGTGCTTGTTTTTCGTGTGTGTGTGTGTGTGTGTGTGTGTGTGTGTGTGTGTGTGTGTGTGTGTGGGGTGTGTGTGTGTGTGTGTGTGTGTGTGTGTGTGTGTGTGTGTGTGTGTGTGTGTGTGTGTGTGTGTGAGAGAGAACGCATGCTTATTCATCACGAGGTTTAGATATTCTGGCACTTGCTGAAAGTGTAATTACTGTACATGTGGTGCATGCGTATACACAAAGAGTTGTCTGAATACCCACCTTCCATTATTGATCAGTGTGTATAGATCCATCCCGCAGGCACAGCACAGTGACTCACAGAGAAACAAGCAGAGGCAACAGTAATAGCTTTCAGTCCTGTGTGGTGTTTTGGAGCAATGCTTTAGACACAATTCATGAAATTGAATCATACCATGGCTAAAATAAGAATGTGCGCCACAGCCAGTGTTATACAATGTTCAGCCTTTTGTGTTGATGCAGCCCCCGCCTCCAGATTAGTGCAGCGAAGCTTCTTAACAAATGGAGCTGCCAGTTTTCTGGAAATTTAAACAGGCTTTTGTCCAGTTGACTCTAGCCTCTAAATACCTTTTTAAACCAGAGAAATTCTACAACTAAGTGGCACTGCTGCTAGTAGTCCTTCTTAGTCCTCAGTATTGAACACAAATCAATATTTTAATGATCACACAGTAGTTCATTTATCTCAATCTCATGTAAAGAGATGTTCATGCGGTTTAAGTTTAAACTGTTTCTTTCTCTATTTACTTTTAATAGGTTGTATGTCTTTTCAACGGATATCAAATTCTCTAGACACCTGTTATAATTGCAGTGGCTGTGCTGGGCAGCAGTGCAGCTGAAGCTGAAAAATCAATGTACCACTCACAGTAGTAGTGATAGAGCAGGAACCTCCAGACATTTAGCTGTCTTTTATTTATCAGTCAGCTTGCCATCACAACCACCTCACATCGATCCAACACTCAGGTGTCCTGTTCAGTGGAGAAAACATGTCACACTGTTACTACTTGCCACTTTAGGTTAAATATATAATTAATCTCCCCAGATGATAAAACACAAACCAGAGAGAGGAGAGGAGGAGAAGTAGGTGAATATGAATGTTAGTGGAATACATTGATACTTTTCTGCAGGAGAGCATGCTGGGATTAAAGGCATGTCAAATACCTGTCATGTTTTTGACAGAACGGGGCCTAGGCCCAAAGAGGTGGTAGAACACGTCATGATATATTTTACTGGAATCCAATTTAAAACCTTACAACTCTGTCTGATACAGCAGGGATCCCTGTAATGTCAACTGCATCATCAGGCAGCATATTGAAAATTTTCACAGACTGTGGTGTTTATCTGAGCATCTGATATTAAACCTTTGGTTCACT